AGCCAAGCACAGTGGTATGCACCTGTTAGGTGTCTTGTACTGGGGAGACTGAGGTGGGAGGAATGGCTGAACCCAGTTCAAGACCAGCCTGGGCAACATAACAAGACCCCATATCAACAAATTTATTATTTTTCATGGTGCTGGGGGTTGAGCCCAGTGCACATGCTCTGTTCCTGAGCTACACTCCTACCCTGTCTCTGCTGGTTCTTGTTCAAACTGCTTAAAGAACAGTGGTGGCAGAGCTGGCTCAAACATTTCTGACCTACTTTCTCCAAAAAAAAAAAAAGGGCAATTAAAGGTACAAAGATGCACAGGTAAGAGGTGGGGCTTCTTGTCCTAGAGCTGTTTATGGCTACCTGATATAAATGAAGTCTTTTGATGTGCTGTAAAGGCGTCAAGTCAATGCTTCTAACAAACAGTTAAATACAGTATTCTTTTACTCATGTTCTACCTTTAGGTAAACACAACTTAATGGGATCTGCTTTCCCTTCATTCTATTACCCGGGGCTCAGGAATAACAATATATGTTTGAAAGGGCCTGTGCCTGTTCTAGGCTTTGATTTATATTCTGATTTTCTCTCTGACACTTCCAATTGAGTGAGCATACAAATATATACATGCAGTGAGTGTCATTTTGGACTTAAAAACATCACAAGCTTTTGTGCACACAGGGCCACAGCATGAGACCTCCTTTGCTGGAGGGACACCAGCTTGCTTCTGTATTATGACTAATAGATTAGTAAGTTTAAGGAAATGCTGCTTGGCTGGAGACTTGGCCTGTAAAAAGAGGAATAAGCAAGGGCTTGATCAAATGTCAAATCCTAGGCTTCCAAGAGACAATGTAATTTCTCTTTTGAGGATAACCTTATATTTAAATTGATATTTATGACTCAAAATGCTGCAGGACTAATAACCATATAAAGAGTAAGAGAACAATCCCATTTAAAATAGCATGAAAGGGGCCAGGGATTTAGCTCAGTGGTTCCGCCACCTGCCTTGGAAGCACAAGGACCCGAGTTTGATCCCTGGTACCAAAAAAAAAAAGTAAAATAGCATGAAAAAGAACACAATACAGCTAATGCAAAGTATAAAAACATTTCTAAAAGAAATTAAAGACATAAATAAATGAAAAGACATTCTGTGTTCATGGATTGGAACATTTAATACTATTGAGATGTCAGTAGTATCCATATCAATCTATAGATTTAATACAATTCCCATCAAAATCTCAACGACTTTTCTTTTTTTCATAGAAATAGAAAAACTCAGGGGGTGGGGATTTAGCTCAGTGGTTCTGCTGCCTGTCTCGCAAGCAGAAGGACCTGAGTTTGATCCCTGGTACCAAAAAAAAAAAAAAAAAAGAAATAGAAAAACTCAGGGCAGGGAGTTATTTATTTATTTATTTATTTTGGTTCTAGGGATCGAACTCCAGACCTTGAGCTTTCGAGGCAGGCAGTGGAACCGCTGAGCTAAATCCCCAGCCTAGGGGATTTGCCCTTCCAAGTACAAGGTCCCGAGTTCGATCTCTGGTACCAAAAAAAGAAAAATTCATCCCAAAATTCATGGCATCTCAAGGGACCATGAATAACCAAAATATACCCCCCCAAAAAAAGCCAGAGGACTCACACTTCCTGATGATGCACGCCTATAATCCCAGCACACAGGAGGCTGAAAAAGGAGGATTGCTGTGAGTTTGAGGCCAACGTGAGTTACAGAGTGAGTTCAAGGCCAGACTGAACTAAATAGCAAGACCTTGTTTCAAAAAAAAAAAAAAAATCAAGGCTAGCCTGAACTACATAGTGAGGAGTTGGCTCAAAACACAAAACTATAAAGCTACAGTAATCAAAACAGTGCTGTACTGGTGGAAGACAAACAGATCAAAGGAATAGAAGACAGCTGAGAAACAGATCCTCATATATATGGTTAAATGGTTTAGGAAAAGGGTGCCAAAGGTGGGCATGGTGGCATATGCCTGTAATCACAGCACATGGGAGGCTGAGGCAGGAGGTTGAGCATGAGTGAGGCTAGCCTGGACTGGCATTGGAGAAGCTGAGGCAAGAGGATCACTGAGTTTGAGGCCAGCCTGGGCTACACAGTGAGTTCAAGGCCAGCCTGAACTACATAGCAAGACCTCGTCTCAAGGGCCTGGGATTTAGCTCAGTGGTTTCGCTTCCTGGTGAGCAGGCGCAAGGACCCGAGTTTGATCCCCGGTACCAAAAAAAAAAAAATGCCAGGGATGTAGTTCAGTGGCTCAATGCCTTGGCAAACATAAGGCCTGGAATTTGATTCCCGGTACAGAAAAAAAAAGGAGAGAGAGGAGAGAGAGGAGAGAGAGAGAAAGAAAGATGGGAGGGAGGAGGGAAGAAAGGCAGGCAGCCTGGAAGTAAAATCAAGAACAGGACAAGGTGTCCACTGTCACCTCTTTTTTCTTTAGACAAGGTCTCACTTTGTGTTCAGGCTAGACTCAAACTCATGGTGATCCTCCTGCCTCTGCTTCCCAAGTGCTGGAATTACAGGTGTGCGCCACCACTCCCGGCAACCACTCTTTTTTTCTTTTTTCAAATACAAAATATTTATTACACAAAAAAGTAATAACTGGGGGCGGGGATTTAGCTCAGTGGTTTCGCCACCTGATGCACAAGCGCAAGGACGCAAGTTTGATCCCTGGTGCAAAAAAGGAAAAGTACTGTTATTTCATAACTCTTAAAAAAAAAAACTTTTTTTTTTTTTTTTGGTACCAGGGATCGAACTCGGGACCTTCTGCTTGCGAGGCAGGTGGTGGAACCACTGAGCTAAATCCCCAGCCAAGACATATTTTTATTATTCAAACTAACTTACTTCACTTCCAAGTTACAAAAGTTACAAAATTTTGGTTTAAAAAATGCTTCTCTATGACTGCCTCGATTTATTTTGCTATGTCATAACAAAAAGTATCTTTGAAATGCTTTGGATATTTAAATGGATGTTTGTAACATAAATTTATATAAATAACTTTTATATCAATAACAGCCCAACATATACCCTCCCTAAACACCCTTTTAGTAGAAACAGGAACCATTAATGATGCAGAATAAAACTTACAGTACCTCTCAATTTATATACAGCACAATAAGCAATCTGACTAGGCTAGTAATATTTAAAGAATATGGTTAGTCTCGCTTCCCTGGTATCACTGAATATGCTAATACTCTCATCAAATGAATAGTATTTCCATTATCTCATATTTCCCTCTATATTCCTTGTCTCCTGGTTGGAATAGCCCCGTGTGGGATATGTAGGCTCAGAACCTGTTGGTCTTATGCTTTTTGTTTGTTCTTCCCAACCTTTGGTAAATTTGTAAAGCCTAGAGGGATCTTTACTAACATTATTTTCAAACTTTTCCTTTAATTTTGCCAGTCTTCTTTGTTTTTCTGACTTTTCCTCTTCTTTTGGTTGCCTATCTAGAATTTTCAATTCTGGCAACCACTCTTATTCAGTATAGTTCAGGAGACATTAGCCAGAGCAATTAGACAAGAGAAAGAAATAAAAGAAATAAGGATGGAAAAGGAAGATGTTAAATTATCATTGTTTGCAGATGACACGATACTATACATAGAAGACTCTAAATATTTCATCAAGACTTCTAGATTTAATAACCAAATTCAGTAGTGTAGCTGGATACAAAGTCAACACTCAGAAATCAATAGCATTGCTATACACAAATAACAAACTCACTGAGAGAGAAATTAGGGAATCACCACCATTCACAATAGCATCCAAAAAAAAGAAATACTTAAGAATTAATCTAACAAATGAAGTAAAAAACCTCTACATTGAAAACTACAGCACTATGAAAAAGGAGATTGAAGAGGGTATCAAAAAATGTAAAGACATCCCTTATTCTTGGGTAGGAAGAACCAATATAGTGAAAATGGCCATACCTCCAAAATTGTTATACTGATTTAATGCAATTCTGATTTTAAAAAAATTCCAATAGCATATCTCAGAGAATTAGAGAAAACAATCCTAAAATTCATTTGGAACCAGAAGAGATCTAGAACAGCAAAAGCAATCCTGGACAATAAGGGCAAGGCAGGGGGCATCACAATCCCTGACTTGAAATTATACTGCAAAGCTACTGTGATAAAAAACAAAAACAAAAAACCCCAGCATGGTACTGGCAAAAAAAAAAGCCAATGCAACAGATTAGAAGATGAAGAAACAACTCCAAACATACTCAGCCACCTTATCTTTGACAAAAGAGCCAAACACCTTCATTGGAGGAAAGATAGCCTCTTTAAAAATGGTCCTGGAAAAAACGCTTTCCACATGCTGAAGATTGTAACTATAGACCCATATCTTTCATCATGCACTAAACTCAAATCAAAATGGATCAAAGATCTAAATATTAAAACAGAAACACTAAATCCACTGTTTTAACTGCCTCCTCCTCCCAGACCAAGTTTGTGTTTTCTGGAAGATAAACCATAATGCAAGCACCGAGAACACTCCAATTTCTTAAATAAATAAGTTATTATTATTACTTTGGTGGTACTGGGGATTGAATCCAAGTCTTCAATGAACTTTAGCCCCACCCCTACCCCTTTTAAAAAATTAAAAAAAAATTTTTTTTTGTACCGGGGATCGAACTTGGGACCTTGCGCTTGTGAGGCAGACAGTGGAACCACTGAGCTAAATCTGTGGCCCCAAAATTTAAAATTTTAAAACAGAGTCTCACTAAACTGTTAAATTGTCCAGACTGGGCTTGAATTTGCAATCCTCCTGCTTCAGCCTCCCTGAGTGCTGGAATTACAGGCACACGCCACTGCACCTGGCTCAGATAACTTTTTTTTTTCAAATAACATATTTAAAGTACCTCATTCACAGTAAGCATTCAGAAAATGTTAATTATTCCTTCAATGCTAATTTTTTAAACACAAGTAGAGGCAGTTTTCCAAAATTAAAAAACAAGATGCAATCTCATTATTGGAAAAGTATGATTTAAGAAAAAACAGAGCAAGTAGGACGGAATATTCCTTTATTTTTACACATCTGACAAAGAGCTTTGCGGTGAACAATCTTTCCAGTGGAAAACAGCATGAACATCAGCCTCCAGCCATTGGCAGCTGCCCTGCTCAGGGTCCAGGCTCCTCCTTGCCTAAGTGGTGAGGTGGAGGGGTGTAAGTCCCTTCCTTTATTAGCTTAGCCCGCTGCCGCTTGATCATACTCATGCGTTGTATCTGTCCAAAGGAAAAGAAAAGCACTTCAAGTAGAGGGAAATATGCACCAGCAAGCAAGAAAGCCACTTTTGGTTTCATTCCCTAACCTCACCTCACCTCCACCCTTTACTGGAGTGGACCCAGGGCCTTCACAGTGAGCTACATCCCTAGCTCTTTTCTTAGTTTGAGACAGGGTTTTGCTAAATCACTAAATTGCCCAGGTTGGGCTTGAACTTGTCAGCCTCCTGCCTCAGCTTCCCAGAGTGCTAGAATCATAGGCAAGTGCCACCATATCTGGTTTGGTGTCATTTCTAAGCTCTGGAAGGCTTTTCATTCTAGAGGGCCTCTGAGATGAAGTCTTTTTCGTTCTTCTCTTTTTTGGTGCTGGAGATTGAACAGGGCCTGTCCATGCTAAGCTAGTGCTCTACCACTGACCCAGCCCCTGCCCTAAAGCCCAACTTTAAAGAACTTGAAATTGCTTCCCAGGGTTTTTAACAAATTTCTAGCATACATAATAATGCCTTCTTAAAATCTAATATCTAAAATGCCTTGTGTGTCTATATTTATAAAGATAGATAGGTATACACAGCATATTACATGGATTCAGTATTTACAAAAACTTTAAAAGGAGTATTTTCACGAAATCTTCTCAAATACATATTAAAAGTGAAGATCATCTTACAGTTTATATATTCCTGACTTCTCCGTATGAAAGTGGCACTGTTGCTCCGTAAGTGTTCATAGGTATGAAGGAACCAAAAACAGTCAATATGAAGTCTTTTTTATAAAAACGCAAAGGGGCCGGGGATTTAGCTCAGTGGTTCCACCACCTGCCTCAAAAGCACAAAGTCCTGAGTTCAATCCCCAGTACCAAAAAAAAATAAAATAAATAAATAAATAAATAAGAGAAACGCAAAGGCCCCTAAGTGCACAGCTACTAGTCACTGCTGAGCCCCAAGTTCTGTTTGTTCTCTTCAGATTGGCCACTGGCTGCTTCCCAACAAATCAGAGCCATGCTACGGAACCTTGCCAAAGCTACAGCAATAAGCTGGCTGCTAGATTCTGTGACATAGAAACTACTTACACATAGTGATGGCATTATTCCTCTGACCAAAGCTCTTCAATAGCTTCTCTTCTTACTAAGAGAAAATAATGCCTTATAGTGACTACTCTTCTGACTTTATTTCTTAAAACCTTTCCCCTAGCTCTCTCCTTTCCTATTCAAAGGCTTCTGCACTTGCTGTTCCCTCAACTTGGAACATTTTCCCCTTGTATCTACATGGCTTTAAGTCTCTGCCCGAATGTCCTTTACTGCTGAGCTCTTCTCTGACTACTCCAATATTTTTTTTTTTTTTTTTGGTACCAGGGATCGAACTTGGGTCCTTGTAGTTGCACAGCATGCAGCAAAACCACTGAGCTAAATCCCTGGCCCCAAGACTACTCCAATATTTAACTTAGCTCCCCACAACACATTCCATCCTTCCCTATTGCACTTATCAATTTTTTTTGGGGGGGGGGAGTACGAGGGATCAAACTCAGGACCTTGTGCTTTTGAGGCAGGCGGCGGAACCACCACTGAGCTAAATCCCCTGCCCTTGCACTTATCAATTTTATTAGTTAATTTTGTCCTTCCTCCCACTAGAATATAAGCTTCATGAAGTCAGGGATTTCTTGCTGTTTTGTTTACTGCTAAATTCTTTTTTTGGGGAGTACTGGGAATTGAACTCAGGATCCTGTGTTTGCCAGGCAGGCACGGCACCACTGAGCTAAATCCCTGGCCCTTACTGCTATATTCTTTTTTTGTGTGTGTGGTACCAGGGATCGAACTCAGGACCTTGCACTTGCAAGGTAGGCATGGTGCCACTGAGCTAAATCCTTGGCCCTTCTGCTATATTCTTAATTGTCTAGAATAGTTCTTGACATAATAGGTACTCCAATATATATATATTTTAAAGGTAACTTATGTACATTTTATTTCAAGAAAGACATAAAATAGCATAAAGATGCCCAGATACCCTAAAGATAAATACATTTCAGGGCCAGGGATTTAGCTCAGTGGTTCCACCGTCTGCCTCATAAGCGCAAGGACCTGAGTTCAAACCCCAGTACCAAAAAAAAAAAAAGATAAATACATTTCAAAGATTCTCATTAAAATGAATCTGTAGTATTTTTTCCTGCAAGCAAAATACCTTTCTTTAAATTTAAAAAAAAAATCAGTTTCTGAATCACAAATACTTTTGCTTTTTTTTTTTGGTATGGGGATCAAACTTGGGACCTTGCACTTGTGAGGCAGGTGGTGGAACCACTGAGCTAAATCCCCGGCCCTAGTTAGGTTTTTTTTTTGGTATTGGGAATCAAACTCGGTACTTTGTGCTTGTGAGGCAGGTAGTGGAACCACTGAGCTAAATCCCCAGCCCTCTTTAGCTTTTTTTTTTGCAGAAAACCTGCCACGGTTATTTTTTAATGAATAAGGATTTTCCATCCAATACTTTTTAAATGAATGACTTTCTTTTCCCAAATGCATGAAGAAAATTAGTATATTCAGTAAATATCTCATTAACCTCAAAGAAGTAGTCTCTAGAACTGTGGTTAAAAAAAAAAAATCCCCGGATATCCTAAATACTGATATAAACATTTACCATTTAAGACTACATTCTTACCATTTCTCTACTGAAGTCTCTCAACAGAGGACTAGTCAGGGTTGAGGTATGACACCATACAACAAACCTTTCTGAGCCAGAAGCAATAGCCACTTAGTGGGGCTGGAGGCACGTTCACTAGTGGAGTGTGTGGTCGGCATACGAGAGGCTCCGTTCAACCCACAGTACCAAAAATGAACAAAACACACCCATAAGAAAATTTTAAAAATTAAAAAAATTATCACTTAGTGTTGTGAATAAAAAGCAGAAGCTCTGGTGCAGTCTTATCAGGCTAAAATCCCAATTCCACCATAATGAACTGTAATTCTTATAATTAGCAGCTTTAGAATTTAGGCAATGTCCTCACTTTGCCTTACACATGCTAGGGAAATGCTCTGCCACTGAGATACATTCCCAACTTTTCTCAAAAAAATTTTTTTTTGGTACCGGGGATCAAACTCAGGACCTTGTGCTTGTGAGGCGGCTAGAGGAACCACTGAGCTAAATCCCCAGCCCGCCTTTCTCAAATTTTTAATTGTATAATGGCTGAGAATAGTAATAGTAACTCATCTCATAGAATTGGGGGGGCAACACTAGGGACTGAACCCGGGGCCTTCACATTGAGCTATAATCCCCCCAGTCCTTCAAAAAAGATTTTGTTTGTTTTTTGAGACAGGGTATCACTGTGTAATTCAGGCTGTCCCTGAACTCACTATGTAGCCCAGGCTGGCCTTGAATGTGCAGTAATCCTCCCACCTCAGCCTCTGCATTGCTAGGATTACAGGCATGGACTACCATGCCCAGATAAAAAAAGTTTTAAGGGGCCAGTGATTTAGCTCAGTGATTTCCCCGCCTACTGTGCAAGCGCAAGGACCCGAGTTTGATCCCCAGTACCAAAAAAAAAAAGTTTAAAAAAAACTTTTCTGACAGTCTCCCTAAGTTGACCAGGCTAGGCTCAAACTTATGATCCTTTTGCCTCAGCCCTCAGGCCTGGCTTCACAGGATTGTTCATGCTAAGAATTCAGAACAGTGTTTGATTCCAATTCCCTGATTCACTAGTTTCTTTACCTATAGAAGGTATCCAAGTCCTTGAAGGCAGCCTCTAAAATGGTAACTTACTTATTTATAAACTCACTGGAGTAGGAGGTGAGCCTAAAGCAAATTCTAATTTTTCCAGGTCAGGAAAACAAGATCAAGAAGGGCAAGTGACTTATTCAAAGTCACAAAACTACTGGCTGCAGAACCAGAATCAGAACCTGGGTCTCCTAACTCTTAATCCAATGTTCTTTCCACTTCACGCAGTTTCCTCTTGCTGTAAAAATTTTCAGATTTAGGTAAAATTTCGATATGAACAACAAATAACTGGGAACCAGAGAGAAATTAAGGTATGTTGTGAAATAAATAGTTGCATGGTGCCCAACTATAAACTTCGCTGAGTCCCTCAGTAGTACAGTACTAAAATATTAGCTAATGATCACTATTCCTATGACAGCAATACAAAAATGCTACCTGACACTTCCTCATTCCTTCCAAGATTGGCTTCACTGTATCTAAATGCCAACAGCAGATGCTAAGAGAGAAGAATTTTAAAATTTTTGATTTAAGCCAGGCATGGTGGCACACACTAGTAACCCAACAATCTGGGAGGCCAAGACAGGAGCATCCCAAATTCGAGTTCAGTCTGGGCAACTTAGTGAGACCTTGTCTCAAAATGAAAAATATAAAATGGGTTGGGGATGTGGCTCAGTGTAAAGGCCATTGGTTTAATCTCTAGCATGAGGAGGAGGAGAGGAAGGAAGACAAAGATGAGGACCAGATAACTTCGCCATAAATTTAAATGAAAATCTAAATTATCTCCCTGAACTCCAAGAAGCTGAAAATAATAAAAGCATTTCTATTTGGAGGTAGTTGTGGTGGCACACTTGTAGTCCCAGCCACCTGAGAGGATGAGGCAGGAGTACTTGAGCCCATGAATCTGGGACCACCCCAGCCAACACAACAAGACAGTGTCTCAAATAAAATAAAATAAAAATAAAATAAAATAAACTTCTATTTGTTATATCTAGAACACAGCAATAGGCAAAATGATAGCCCAAACACAAAGATTTCTTCTCTAAAAGAGAATAGGGCCTTTTATATTATACAACTCATGCAACTTGAGAGGTGGACACCATGCTGCTATTTTTTTCCTACATCTTTGGTTAGGCTTATTTAAAGCAATCTCATTAAGATCTCTATCTTGTTCAGGGTATTAAACAAATCCAGAGATTGTAATATGTTTACTGTAATAGGTCTGCTGGGCTTAACTTCTCCAATAAGGGCTCAATAAACTTGAAGAAATATTTTCACCCAAAGATTTTCAAGGACAAACATTCAAAGCTGGTTGATAGTCTTTGCTTTATATTCTACTGAAGAAATGGACACACATATATGCAATTTATAACCTGGTGGCTACAGCATGGTACAATGGTAGGGAACATCTGAGAGAAGATGAGGAAGAACACTGAGGAAGAGGCCCTCCTTAGATCTAAAAGCACTTACCTTCCTTGTCATGGATCCTGAATAGAAAAGATGTTTCACCATAAATGTTTTGCCAATTTACAATGGCCACACCACTGCCTAATAACCCATTTAAAACACTTAAGAGTACCCCCAAAGAAACAAAGAAATTCAGCTCCCATCACCACTGTTTCCTCACCGTCTTCTGCCGAAGCAAACATTCCACCAAATCATCATGCTCTATCTTGCACTCTTTCTCCGCCCGGATAGCACCAATTCCATGTGCACATTCTAGCCATTCTTTTTCAAAAGCATGGCATCGAGAAGCAAGTTTGTAGGGCTGTTCAGCACTTTGGATTGTCATGTGACGATCTAAATTAATGCCCAGTCTTTTCTGCACATCAAAGAAAGGCATGGCTGTAAGGGAAGATAAAAATAATAACAGTAATAATGCCGTAAAAGTACAATCAAATGAAACATTCTTTAGAACTAAAACTAAAAAATAATGTACAATAATTCTGATATTGATGGGGGTCTTTTTTTGTCACAAGTCAAAGAAGTGTTTATGTTTTGACTGAATAATCCTAATTCTCTGAAACAGGTCTGAAGAAAACTGAGGTACAAGCACAAAACATTACTTTTTTTGTTTGGTTTTTTTTTTTTGTAGTGGGATTTAACCCAAAGCCTTTGCACTGAGCTACATCCCAGCCCTTATTTATTTATTTATTTATTTGGTAGTGGGGATTGAACTCTGGTCCTTGAGCTTGTGAGCAGGTGGTGGGACCACTGAGCTAAATCCCTGGACCCCAGCCCTTATTTTAAAATTTTGACACAGGGTCTCGCTAAATCGTTAAATTACCCAGTCTGGGCTCAAATTTGCAATCCTAGTGCCTCAGCCTCCCAGAGTGCTGGGATTACAGGTGTGAACCACCACGATCACCTTTTTACATTTTTCTATCCATTCTTTTTTTTTTTTTGATACCGGGAATTGAACTCGGGACCTTGTGGTTTCGAGGCAGGCGGTGGAACCACTGAGCTAAATCTCTGGCCCCTTTCTATCCATTCTTTCTATAGCAACCTGGATGACACTTCTGAGAAACCTTCCTGAACCCAGTCTCCCTCCTGTGTTCCTACAGTACTCTCAACTTCCGCAAGAGTATTGTGCAGATCAATGGACTATTTATTTGAATGTCTCTCCTACTGGACAATGAGTCAATGAGTACTCAGTAGAATATGGCAGATATTGGGAAAAAAGAATAATATACATAGTAAATATATAATTATGTTAAGTAAAAGGAGAAAGGAGAGAGGGAGGAGAGGGAAGGGAGAGAGACAAAGAAAGAGGAGAGAAGGCGGGTGGATAACAACACTAAAGGGAGAAAAACTAAGGGAAAAAAACTGTTTAAAGAAGAGCACGTACACACACACACACACACACAAATGTGAGTGTAACTGAACATGCACAGTAGATTTACTGATGAATTCAATGTCTGTTTCTTTTACTGAGGAATTACATTCCAGGCTCTGAGATGGGGGAAAGCAGCTCAACATATGTACGCACTACAGTCACACATTGAGAACCGGGAACACACTGGAAGGAACACAAAACAGGTAAAAGCTTAAAGGAAGAAGCATCCAGAAGACTTAAAAATGCACGAGAGGGCCGGGGATTTAGCTCAGTGGTTACGCCGCCTGCCTCTCAAGCCCAAGGTTCCGAGTTCCATCCCCGGTACCAAAAA